AGACAAGGACAATGTGAGAACGAAAACCATAGGCCACTCGCTATGAGCATACGTGCAAAGCCCTAAGCAACACGCGGACATACTGAATCTAGCGCCGAACAGCAAAAGCTTCTTACACCACGACCAAATTAAGTCTGTCCCAGCGTTTGAAAGATTGTTCAATTCAGACAAATCGAGCACAACACAGGGAATATAGCCAATGTTTTGTAATAACTGTAATTGGAAAGAAACCTTTAAAAATTGTGTACAATTTTTTTTAATTTAAAAAAGAAAAATATTAATATCATTCCCTCCATTAAAGATTAAAGGAAAAAAGCAGAATGAGCATCTTGAGAAATGCAGAAAAAGCAATCAGTAAAATTCAACACTTACTCTTGATTTTGAAAAAACAGCAGCCTTGGAAGAGGAGAAAACGTCACAGCCTAATGACTGGTACCCACCAGAAATCCACACCAGCCACCCTCCGTAGCGGTGAACGTTAGAGTTCCTTTCGAACTGAGGAGAAGGCACGGGCGTGTCCTCCCACTCCTCTAGTTACCAAGTCAAGAAAGACAAGGCGAAAAGGGAAGGAGAGATAACTGGAGAAATAAATCAGCAGTATTTCCCGACGGCCGGATTATCTGCTAAAAAGTCCTGAAGAATCAAGAGGTGGGAAGCATCAGAACTAATTCAGAGGACAGGCCTGCAGCTGGTGAGGGGCCGTTCCTCCTCTGCCCCGCTGGCCTGCTCCGGCCACCCTCTGTCCTCGTCCCCAGTGTCCTCAGGACAACAGACCCAGGCCACCTGCACTGCGGAGGCCGGAGCAGCCACCTGTACTTACTCCTGCGGCTGGGAGCCTGAGTCTCCTGCGAGGGGCTTGTCCAGTGCTGGTCACCAGGGATGGCTGGCGTTGTGGCCTCAGGGCCGAGCCTTCCGGAGAGAGCATGTGGGCAGAGAAAGCCTCAGGAAGAAGTTGCATCAGGAGTCCTGGCCGAATTCTCACTACAGCAGTGGGGTTGGGCACTGACCCTGCAGAGGGAACCCGGCCGCCCATCGAGGGCTCCCCTCCCCCTCTCTGTAGCATCACCTGGCAACTCTGTGCTCGCCTCCTGAGCCAGTTACATGACTGGAGGGGCCCTCAGACCACAGGAGCAAGTGACCTGACCGTGCCGGCTGGAGGTCAGACTGGAGACAGAAAATTCTGGCACGCAGGGCCCGGGCACCAGCCAGCCTCAGCCCACCTGACCTGTGGCCTGGCCCTCGTCAGCCCCCACCGTCTTCCTGACGGGTGGTTAACACGCTTCTCACCCCTATCAGGGCCAACCTGCCCTTGTTACTTCCCTGAGCAGCTAAACCTGCAGGGAAGCCGGGTCATCAGGGGGCAGGCAGCCTCACCTGCCCCAGCACAGGCCGAAGAGGGCAAGGCCGGGGTCAGGGAGGCCCTGCTGGGGTCAGGGGTCATGAGGAGGCAGAGGAAGGCCTGGGGCTCCGGCAGGAAGGACAGCAGCGAGGCTGCCCCTTCCCAGGCCGTCGAAGAGGGCGATTCTTGTCGTCGGGGGCCACGGTCCTGTATTAGCTACTAACAAATTACTCCAACACTCGGCGACTTAAGACAACAGCACAGTCATTACCTGTCACTTGGGTCGGGAATTCAGGGCCCACCTGGCTGGGCATCCCACTCAGGGCCCCTCATGAGGTCACAGCCAGTGACCCCAGGCCCTCGGTCATCAGGAGACTCCACCGGGCCATGGGACCCACTTCCACATGCTTACACACCAGCCAACTCTCGAGGTGGCTCTCAGCCGGAGCCTCAGCTCCCTCCACAGGGGCCTCTCCACTGGGCTGCCTGAGTGTCCAAAGAACGTGTCCCTGCAGCCATTGATCCCAGAGATCAAGGCAGAAGCCTCGGTGCCTCCAAAACCCACCGCAGAAGTCACTCACCTCCATTCCACATCCCTGTGCTCACCAGGCCATCTTGGAGGCTGGCCCCCAGGGCCTTGATGGGAGAGCAGGTGGAAGTGGGCTGCAAGGTTCGCCCAGGGAGCTCCTTCTGTGCCCCTGCCATTGGAGGACAAGGTGCAGGTTTCCAGTGAGCTGAGCTCTAGCCTGTGACTATGTGATTATATTTTCCCCCAAAACCCATTCCTGGCTCCTTCCTCCAAATACCTGATGGCTGTCCAATGACTACCCCTTCCCAGGCACCGGGACTCCGGAGGCCGCCGGCCTGCGGTTCCCCCTTCTGCTCAAGCCAGGGTTCTGGGTTCCTCCCCTAGGGCATAGATTATGAATTCAGATGCCCTCAGACATGAACATGTGAAAAGGTCTGAAATGGGTAATAGGGAGTGGTGGAGCCTGTGGCCAAATGTGCAATGCCTAAAGGCACTCACTTTACAAGATTTCTTTAATGCCGTACTGGCCAAAAAAATCAGAGCTGCCAGGTTGGGCTACCAGTTTAACACCCAGACAGCCCAGGAGATGTGATGAAAACACCCCAAGTTCTAACCCCACACCTGCTATTTACACACACATGAGCACTTATGCGCGCATGCGCGCGCACACCCACACACACACACACACACGAATCAGTGCTCTGGGTACATGAGTCAGATTGCTGCCCTCTCCCCATGCTGTGGACCCAAGATGAGTGGGTTCCCATGAGCTGTGCAGTTGGCCTGAAGTCCCTTTCCCTGCGCTTTGTTCCCTCCAGCCCCAACCCACCCCATCTAGGTCCCTTTGGATGCAGGGGCCACAGAGGCTGGACTCGGTGCCAGGCCTGGAAGAGGCTGTCAGGAAGGAACTGTTGTAGACCACTGCCTCCTGCAGTCCCCAGGCCAGAGCAGAGTGTAAAGCCAGGGGATCTGCGGCAGCTGAGAGAACTGGTCAATCATGGCAGTGAGGGAAGAAGGAGAGGGTCCTGGGTGCCTGTGGACAGTCTGCAGAGATGGAGAAGGTGAGGCCCAGGACCCCCGGGAGCTGGAGACAGCTTGGGCCCCACCCACGTGCAGAACCGCCAACAGCAGAAAATGCTGTTCTCCAGGCCGAAAGGACCCAGGTTGCTTAGCACAGAGCACCTGGGGGAGGCAGCCAGTGGCCGAGGAGACTGCCAGCCTCCACTCCCACCCCTAGCTGGTCCTGGGCCGCTGGGCTGCCCCAGAGCAAGCCGACTCTCTGAGGAGACCCACCGGAGCCACGGGGAGGAGGGGGTAGGGAGTTGTAGTCTCCAGAGGGAGAGAGCGTGCACAGGGAAGGGAAGGGCTCAGCTGTCCATCTGCCCAGAGAGGGCAGGGGTGAGGGGCCTCAGGAGGTGGGAGGCGGCACTGCTCCCACCTGCCACCAGGTGGCAGCAGAGGGCACCATGCCTGCCCTGCTCCCTAAAAGCTAGGGATCTGGCAGAAGCAGTTTCTCCCCACCCGCTTCTCCTGGACCTCCTTCTTCACCCACTAACTCGCCCAGTAAAAGTGAGCACCGGTGCACAGAGCAGCCCAGAGGGAGGCAGAAGGGGACGTCCATAACCCAGGAGTCTGGACGTCTGCTTGTGTCCAGGGTGTCCACACTCCAGTGGTGGAGAACGTACAGGCCTGGGTGAGGGCTGGTGGATGCTCTGAGGAAGCGTGCATTGTCGGGGTGGAACTCACCCTGGCCGGACCATAGATCTACTCCGGCCACGAAAGTGACATCTGCCTGTGCCTCACTGCAGGCGGCGTCCCTTCTTACAGCCTCCAGGAGACTGTCCAGAAGGGGCCCACCCCACCCCACCCCCTTCCCTTTGGAACACAGGGCCACAGAGCTCATCCAAGCCTGGCCTTCCTCCTCCAGGAAGCCCTCCCCAGCCAGGGAAGGCTTTGGCGTGGTTTGGCAGCCGCATGGGGAGGGGCACCCTCGTGCCTCTCTCTGGGTGGGAGAGGACTCTGACAGACGCCAAGGCCTCCCCTGGGGGAGGGGAGGGGAAAAGCGGTGAGAACACAAAAGTCCAGAGAGGAAATGTGGCCTGAGGGGTTTGGGCTGGTGGAGGAACTGCCAAGGCAGGGCTGCCAATCTAGGGGAGCTGCTCACCCCACCCAGAGGGGACCCTCCCCTCTCTCCCACTCCCAGGAGGTGCAACCGAGCAGAAACGGCGGGCTAAAGAAGTCTGGCACATGTGGCAGGCGACCATGCATGCTTGTTAACCAGGCGGGAGGTGCAGGGGGAGGGACGCCGGCCTGAGAACAGAGACCGGGTTTAGTCGAGTCTGGCCCCAGGTGCTGTGCGACCTTGAGAAGCCACTTTGTCTCTGGTCCTCAGTTTCCCCACCCATGAAGTCAGGGTATGGGCAAAAGCAGGGTGGCAAGTGGGGCTGCGGGGAGCACTGTCCTTGGAAGGGTGTGAGTGGGGAAGGACCTGTGATGGCCTAGCAGTGTCTGTCTCGGGCACAGGCCCGTAGAGACACACACGTCGTATCTGCCAAGTCCAGGGACCATCCCGAGCCCCTCCTGCCCCGGTGCTCTGAGAGCTGAGGGACACCTTGAGAGATGGCCTCCAGGGAAGCCCAAGACAACTGCGGTGTGCGAAGGTTGCCTCCTGGCGGTTTCTCTGGTTCCTTCTCGTGGGCTCCAGGACGCTAAGCCAGCGAAGGACCCCCTCCAACAGAATGCAGACCCCAGTGTGGGTGCTCAGCTGTCACATCTGACATGGTGTGTCCCGTCGGGTTCCCTGAGTCAGGTCGCGGTGTGCACCCCACTGGCACCCTCCCAGCACAGAGACGTGCGTTCTGAGAGGAGGCCTCCCCGCGGGGGCTTCCCTCTGTGACACGTTGCAGTGCGTTTTATATACGATCAGATGGTGGAGTCCAGGAAGGCCACCTCCTTTGCAGACAAGACGGTGTGTTCCAACAGGCACGGCAGGCCGGTGGCACCAGCTCTAGGCCACCACAGAGCTTCTCAGCGGGACTGTGGGAGGGGCAGAGGCGAAGGCTGTCCACTGGGGGTGGAGGGGGCCCTGACCCAGGCTCCTGGCTCAGCAGCCACCCGGCTTCCCGCCACATCCTACAAGTGCGTTTCCTTCTCCCCAGCCATGAGTCCCTCCTTGGCCGCAGAGGGCTCACAGTCCAGATGCAGGTGCCGTGTGGGCTGTGGCAGGCTGGGGTCGGGGGTGATGAGCTGCCGCAGGCGCTGCGGGGAGAAGAGGGAGTCAGGGGGTGCTGTTGCCTAGAGAGGCAAAGATGTGTCCCCGGGGCCCAGCACGGAGCCAGCACGTGGGACAGCTCAGCACGAGTGAGCGCAAGTCTGGAGAAGGCAGACCGGGCAGGGACATGGTGACTGAGAGCGGGAGCTGCCTGGTTCCAGTCCTGGCTCCTACTGATGCCTGTGTCATCACAGGCAACCCATTTAGCCCCCCGTGCCTGTCTGTAAAATGACAGCACACACCTCGTAGGACAGCGCCTGGACCGGGCAGGGGATCGGCAAGTGCTCATTTTGTTCTCTTCCCAATTACTGAGCTCATCGCCGCTGTCACTACACACTCAGTGAGGTCTACTCTTCTTCTGAGTAGTCGCACTACCATTGCTACTGGAATTGGTGCCAACTCCTCCTTGCCTTGAATGCAGACGTGATGACTGGAGTCATGACAACCATATTGTGACCATGAGGTGATAAGCGTGCCAGTGAAAAGACAATGTGACCAGGATGAATATGCAGACATAGCGGAAGAGTCTGGTCCCTGATAGCCTCTTTAACTAGCTGAACCACATGCCAGCAGCACCTCCCACCCCAACCCCCGTGTCCTCAACGTGTGAAAAGACACTAAGCCTACTTGCTACTTGCAGGCTGGGCTCAGGATTCTGCAGACTCATGCCTCTGTGGACACCAGCTCCACCCCTTCCAGGAAGGCATGTCCCAAACCCTGAACAGGGAGCCTTCTGCATGTGGCTTGTGGGCAGGGTCCAGATGAAAAAGGAGCCCCTGGATGCGCCGTGGCTGCTGATTACCAGTTTCCGACAGCAGGAATCTGTGCTCTGTGACCCCCTGGGTCTGGCACCTTTGAGTTCTCATTTGTGCCTTAGCTTCCCTCTTAACCCTTTGATAGTTTGCGCTTGGTCAGCCTGCCCAAGTGACCTGCTGGAGGTCAGATTCTGAAGGTCTAGGACTGGAGAACCCTTGAATGTTTCTACAGATGAAGCCACTGGACTGGTCTTCAAAGACCCTTCTCCTTGAGATTCCATTAGACTGAAGGGCTGCCCCACCCTCAGAGCCGGCCCCAGCCGTGGCGCCCTGCCTGGAGCCCAGCCCCCGCGGTGCCCCTCTTAAGGTGCTGCTCCCCCAGCGCCTACCTTCCTGAGGGAACCCTGGGTCTTCAGGAGGGTGGTGAGGATGAAGAGTGGGACGCAGCCCATGGAGGAGAGCGCCAGCAGCCAGCCGATGGAGCGCCCCCAGGGCGGGTACACGTAGACGTTGTTGTATTTGAGAGGGCTGTACTTGCTCAAGGAGAAGAGGAACGTGGCCTAGAAGGAAAGTGGGAGGGGCAGGAGCAGATGAGGGAGGGGCCCCGGAAACCTCTCCCCAGGGGTGGAGCTCAGCTCAACACACTGGCGCTTCCAGAGGTGGGAGGGCAAAGGCCGCCACGAACCCTGCGCCCAGAGACAGGAAGGAGATGGAGGAGCTCCAAGCAGACAGACAGAGGGAGACCAAGCACTGGGAAACGAAGCAGGTGGATGGAGGTGCCATGAGAAAGGGGTGGAGCAGGAACCAGACAGCTGGTGATGCTGGTAAAGCAGGGAGCCAGCTGAGGAGGCCCCAGAAAAGACAGGCGGGGGAACCCGTGCACATGAGGGGCGGGCCCCTGGGCAGGCAGGAAGGAGCCCCAGAACTCAGCCTCCTGCCCCTCCCCTCCCCCTCCCGAGTTGGCCGGAGGCAGAAGAGGGCTGGGGGCACTGGCAGGCACTTACCAGGCAAAGTCCCGGGGTCAGGAAGAGCCAGGAGATCTTCACCAGGGGCCATGGCCGGTAGCCAATCATGTCCTCAACGTTGTCATAGAAACGCTCGGCCCCTGCCGGGCAGGTTGGGGAACAGCGGGTGGGTATTGGGAAGGACTACCTGCTTTGCCCGCCTCCCCACACCCCGTGGGGGGACGTGGACCAGGGCACGTGAGTGACAGGGAGGCGGGAGGGCTGCCACCCACAAGCTGGGGCCCTCGAGAGTCCCCGAACCGCCCAGCGCATCTCCTGTCTCCGGTCTAGGGACGGAGACCCGCCTCCTCACACCGAGGAGGGTGCGAGTCAGCGGGCTCCGCGGCCCCACCGGCGCTTGTTTGGCACAGAGACAGCTGGCTTTCAAGTAAAAGCAGCCAAACAGCGAGGGAGCCGCTGCGCGAGCCCAGCGCGGACAGCGTGGCCGGGAAGCACTGGGCAGGGGGGCGGCTGGACCCCAGACCCCGGGAGCCCCTCTGCGGTCCCAGCGAAGCACATAAGGGGGCCAGTTTGTTGCCGGGAAACACCGACGCTTGTATCTGTTTTGTTCAGCGCCCTCAGGTTTCCACATTTGCTGTATCTTCTAAGAAGTAAAGAGCCGGTGACCAGGGAAGACACGGGGCTTCCTCCCCTCACCAAAGACCACCACGAAATGCCACCAGAGTCACTCCCCCACAGGTGAACACCAGGTAGTGCTGTGGGTGTCACAGATTATCAGCCATTTGCACCTGGCTGTGACTGAGTTTATCAGATCCCCTCGGAGAACAAGCCTTGGAAAGCAGCGGGGAACCGGCGTGCACGGTTATTTATAATTATTCTCACTATTCAAGGAGCTCAGTGTCATCGCTGACCCCACTCCACCTGCCGTGATGGGAGATGCCTGGGTTCCCAGCGATGGAGAAACTTCTCAAGTAAAAGGAACCAGGACGGCAGCACAAAGACCTACAGAGACCGGAGGGCCGGCACACCTGTCCTTATCCGCACCCCGCACCCCACTTACCGTACACCCAGCTGATGCAGATCACTTCAAACACGGAAAGGAAGAGCAGGCATGTGCCGCTGCAGGCATAATAATCGAACAGCTGGAAGATGTACATCCCGCCCTGCGGAGCAGGGGTGGAGCTGAGGCCCTGGCCCACTCGGGCAGGGGACAGACACCCACCCGGGGTGCCGCCCTGCCAGCCCAGGGTGTGTCGTCGCTTGCAGCTGACTTTGCCCTGCCTGTCCCTGCCTCCCAGCCCTCCTCTACCATCAGGACAACCCTCTCTGACATCTGCGAGGACCCTGGGGACGGGGGCCACACACATTACATAGTCTGCTTAGCCCTCATCTTCTGGAAGCTGACAAGTTGGGGCCGCCTCACTCTAAGGGTGCTCCCTCCCTGCTTCAGGCCTGAAGACGGGCCACAGCTGACACCCAGTGCCCTCTCAGGAAAAGGGCCCCTACCTCCCCCGGAGTGGGCTGGTGGCAGAAAGGAAGCCTGAAGCTGCACCAGCCGTCTGCAACGTCGCAGGTGGGAAATTTAGACAAAAATCATGTTACTAGAGGAAAGAAGCCAGGAGATAGAGGGGAGCATCCCCGACAATGACACTGGAGCTGCTGGATCCAACCATGCCTGAAACCAAAACATCTCTAGACGCCAGTTTCCTGATCCAAAAATTCACCTTCCTGCTTAAGCCAGCTGGCGTTTAGTTTCAGTTGTCTGAAACCAAAAGAGAGGTAACCAATACAGGAAGGTTCCATCGTGTGGTCCCTCCAACCTCGTGGTGAGGAGAACGTGGCTGAGGGTCGGCAGGTCCCCACCTGGCCCGCAGGCCGTGGCTGCCGCTCACCTCGGTGACCAGGAAGAGCCCGATCAGGTAGCACACGACCGCGATGCCAAGGATCAGGAGCTCCCGCCGCCCGCTCTTCCGGAGCTGCCTGGGGAACATGTCCATGGAGGCTGTCACCATGCACTCCATACAGACAAACTGCGGGCGGAGGGGGCGGGGTGAGAGGGGCCACCTGCCCGTGCCCGCCTCCTCGCACCCCACCCCCAGGGTAACCCACAGAATGCAGGGGCACAGAGGGCAGAGCTGGGGTGAGGGCAGAGCTGGGGTGAGGCCAGACCCGCCTTGGCCACATTTCCGCAACAGAGGGTCCCAGCAGTGGGGCCAGAGGGGACAGCCCATTCTGTCCCCAAGGCTGGGCAGGGCTGGGCAGCCGGCGCTGGGCGGCCTGGAGGAGCTGGAGGGGCGTTTGGGAAAGCGAGTCCAAGTCTGGGGGAGGGTCAGTTCTGGGGGAGCAAAGCAGGGAGCTCCTCATGGAAGAGGGTCCTGAGGCCTGGGGTTACCCCACAAACCTCAAGGACAGGCCCTGGAAGGCAGGGGACCGGGGACGTCTGGTCAGGGGACAAGGAGTTGGGGGAGGCAATGGCTGGAAACACAGAAACTGGTAAGAGGATCACGGGGCGGGGGTGGGGGCGCACCTGGCTGTCCAGCCCGAGGAAGATGAGCATGAGGAAGAAGAGGCAGGACCACAGCTGCGACAGGGGCATCATGGTCACGGCCTTGGGGAAGGCGATGAAGGCCAGCCCGGGGCCTGTCAAGGACACACAGTCAGGGGACCCAGAGAGCCAGGGCTCTCACTGCCCAGGAAAGCCCGCCTCTACGTGTGCGTGTGCAAGTTCAGAGGGCATCTGCTTCCACCAGTTACCTACTCTACCAGGTTCTGGGGAGCACACTTTCCACTCATGCATCCATCCACCCATGTGTTCCCCTCTCCCGCCCCTGGTTTGGGGGCCCTGCTCTGTGTCAAGCACTGCCCTCCTCACCCCCCATGCCAAAAGCTTCCTATTACACAGCTCCTGGGACCCCTGCCCTTCTGCAGCAGGGATCTGTGTCCCCTGACCCTCCCTCCCCCCAGGCCCCAGACAGCAAGGCAGCACCCACCTGACTCGGCCACCTCGGAGATGGGCACCCCCTGCTCCTGGGACATGAAGCCCAGGATGGAGAAGACCACAAAGCCGGCCCCCAAGCTGGTGGCGCTGTTGAGGAAGCAGAGGGCGATGCAGTCCCTGCGGGGCCAGCGAGGTGGGCGTGGGGTGCGGATACAGAAGGAACGGGAAGGAAAAGGGAGAAAGACGGTGAGTGGTAAAGAGCAGAGAGAAAAAGCAGGGCGTGGGGACCAAGATGAGGCGCCAGCATGTGAGGAGAGGAAAGGGAGAGAGAGAGAAATTCAGTCTGGGAAGACTGCTCCTACAGGAGGGAGGCCTGGGCCCCCCCCAGGGTCCCGCCCCCTGCACCCCCCAGGTCCCCGCTGTGCCCCCGCCCCCCCGCCGCGTCTCCCCTCACCGGTAGCAGTTGTTGTGGTACTTGTTGTAGCTGCCCAGGGCCGTCAGGCACCCCTGGCAGATGGCGAAGGAGAAGAAGATCTGGGTGCCCGCGTCCATCCACACCTGCGCAGGGGACCCCAGGGAAGTGTGGGAGGACGGGAGGAGCCCGCCGGGGCCTGGAGGGGGGCCAGAGCCCCAGCCAGCACCCCATAACCAGTGGCCCCTCCGCAGCCCCTCGGAGGCATGCACACTCTCCCCCCCACCAAGGTTCCTCCTCTCCTCCTGGGCGCTCAGTAGGCACCAAACACACGCACGTTGGTTAAGAAGGGGAGGCCTGCCCGCAGCGCGGAGTGAGGCCCTTGCCCTAGTCAACCAGCGCGGCGTGTCCTAGGAGCCACGGTGGTGGGCAGAGGCCGCTCCCTTCAAATGTAGAGAAAAAAGACCAAGACCCCAGGGAGGGGGTGGGAGAGGAGGGGAGGATGTGCTCGGACACGTCCAGAGGAGGACATGTAAGGGCTAATGAATCTGCGGAGAAATGTCCAACCTCGTAGTAAAAAAATTAAATTAAAACAGCAACATACTACTCTGACCCATCGAAGTTTACAATAAATTATGCTCGACTGTCTCCTGGGCCTGCGGAAGGAAGGGCACCCGCTAACACGGGCGGTCAAAGCCCACGGCACGCGGCAGCCTTCAGAGGCACGCACTCCTTGACTTAGTGATCCCGCGTCTGACTGTGTCAGGAAGTAACAGAGATGCGGGCGCGGAGTTAAACACAAGGTGTGCACTGCAGCTGTCTATACAATCGAAAGAAAATCCACGTCCTGAACGTGCAAGAACGGGGAAGGGCTGAGTAAAAGCCAGCCCCTGCCCAGAGTCGGGCGCCTGAGGGCGTGCAGCCTGGTCCCACCGCCCGACGTGTGGGCGAGAGCAGTGTCTGGACTCGCGGGACCTCAGCACATCCTGGCTGAGGGAGTGAACGAACGGACGGTGGATGGAGGAGACACCATGCACGTGTTAAAATGACACTTAGAATTAAATAACGTGGAAAATGCATACAATATAACTTAGATGAAAAAATATGTCTCCCTATGTAATTATCTCAACTATGTTGGAACACACACACCAGCCAGAAAAAACGTTGGAAGGAAATATCCTAAAAGGCCAACAGAGTTGGTAGCTGAGTGGTAGGATTACAAAAGACTTTCAGTTCCTTTTTCACAATTTTTTTCCGTATTATCTAATTTCACTCCAGTGGGCATATATCGCCTTTAAACCAAAAGAAAAGCAATCAAAGGTTCTCAGGAGTCCAGGTCAGCCGTGGTGGGGGAAGCTGGGGCCGGTCCCCCGCATGGCTCCTACCTGGGGGTCCTTGAGGCGAAGCAGATCCGGCTTCAGGTAGTAGATGATGCCCGCGGAGGCCCCGGGCAGCGTGACGCCGCGGACCAAGAGGATGACCAGCATCAGGTAGGGGAACGTGGCCGTGAAGTAAACAACCTGCAGGGGAAGCCGACCCGGGTCGCTGCTGGTGGGGGCGCAGCTGGCGCTGGACGGGGCCCGCAGGGGCCCCCCTGTCACCCACGCCTCGCTCAGTGTTCGCCACCCTCTTGGAGACATCTGGGGGCAGGGTGGGGAGCTCACGGAACTTCCCCCACTCCCCGTCCCGCTACTCGTTCAGAGGGGGCTACACGTCAGCGGGGCACAGCAGGAGAAGGAAGGACTCCCTAATCGCCCCTCATGCCCCGAGAGGCTGCCCCCCCCCCACTGGGGGAAGGTGAGCAGCTGTGTACGTGATGGGCGGGGGAACTTAGCCTGTGCTTTCCCAGGCTTGAGACTGGGGGCAGCGGTGTCCTGAGCTCTGGGGCTGCAGACCCATGGATGGGCCCCACTCTATCCCAGACGGAGCTCCTTGCCCAAAGTGGGGGCACCGTCTGTGTTTTCAGTGTTACTATTGCTACTTTCATGGCATTTTTATGACAGCCGCCCACGGAAGGGGGAGGCCGCTGCAGGGCCGGCTAATGAGAGGAGTCTGTGCTTCTTCTGTTCCAGGCTTCGAAAAGCAGGCAGCGCCCGCATCAGGCTCTCTGGGTTGGAATTAACGCCCCAAGGCGAGCTCTCCCCCGACATGCAACCGGCCACCTCGTCCACTCTCAGTGTGGACTCCTCCGCTGGTGGGGCACCTGCCACCTGCTGGCCGGTTCACCCTAGACATCGCCGTGGTGTGTCGTCACACCGTCTGACCCAGCTGCAGCCGTCGCCCACCATAGACACAGACATACACATACACAGGAAGCTAGAAGGTGACACGGCGAAATGCTGGCCACGGAAAGCAGACCACCAGCTGTCACGCGGGTGCCTCGGCCCTGACCTTGAAACTGGCATTTCTTATTTTGCTCTGCGTGTTATGTAAACAGGCCTTCGCAAGTCATACTGAAAAAGAAAGCTTTTCCTTTGTTGGGCTAAGTTAGCAGGGTTCGCCTTCCTACCACTTCCCCTGCTCCCACCAGGCCTCTCCCTCACGCTGCTTTTCCTTCCAGTTCTTCAGAGGGACGCTGTTGAGTGTCCCTGTGGACTCCGGGGGCCACAGAGAATGTTCCTGGAGCCAGGACACCTCACCTTGCCTGTGATCTTGACCCCTTTCCAGATGCAGAAGTAGCAGACCACCCAGGCGAGCAGGAGGCACAGGGCCAGCTCCCAGCGCAGGGCCCCCAGGTCATGGAGGCCAGCGGTGAGGCCCAGAACACGTCTCCTGCGGGACGGGGAGATAGAGAAGGTGATGGCCGAAGGGGCAACGAGGGGCCTCTGTCGTCAGGTCTCCTGAACCTCGGAGCTGACCCACGGTCTCACAGTCCCGGCTTCCCCACCCCCACCCCTCCCCGCCCCGTGGCCATCAGGTTCCCACCTGTGGTCTGTGTGCCCCTGGCTGTTAGAAGGTCAGTCACGTAATCCCATAGGTATCTGTGTCTTTCTAACTCATCCAGCTTTCTCTGTTGTACAGAGAGACAGACAGAGAAGGTGAGGGAGGTGAATGTCTGTGCCAACAGGGAGCAAGTACCTGCGTGTGCACGTAGAGGAGCGTGTGGTAGGGGGCAAACGGAGGGGTGGATGTGTGTCGGCGTCTAAAGAAGTGACCAGGGTGATGGAGAGGCGTGTGCACGAGTGTAGGGGACATGCGTGGGGGGGTGACGTGTGGGAGCGCCTGTGACTGTGTCAGTGGGTGCGTGTGGGTTGAGGTAAGTGTGAGGGCAGGTGGACTTGTGTAAGGACGGAGGTGAACACATGTGGGTGCGGAGGTGTAGGTGGCCACGTGGAGGGTGGGTTGTGAGTGAGAGTTGAAATTTGCCAATTTCTGTGGTATAAATTCTCCCACCTTGGCCAATGTCCTGCTACCAACATGACATCTCAGAACCCAGCCAGGCCACCGTGGGCAGAGGAGGGAGTGCAGCTGGGTGTGTGGGGTGCAGGGAGGCATGTGTGAGGATACAAGACGTGTGTGTGAGTCTAGGTGAACGCAGGTGGGTGTGGGGTGAGCGTGAGGGTGAGACGGACAAGTGTGAGGGTCCCTCATCTCTCAGTGATGGGGTGGGCGGTGTGTGAGGGCTGGAGAGAGCACACAGAGGGGCATACACGTGCATCCCTCATCCCAGGCTCCCGACAACCCAGTTTCCTCTATTTGGGGCCCCTGGGGTGCAGCACCCAGGCCCAGCACCTACTCCCAGAACTCTATGACGGGCGAGGTGAAGTTCTCAGAAGGGGTCGCTGTGCTGGCGGCTGAGTGGTTCACAAAGTCCCTGCACTGCTCTGTGGGGAAGAAGACGGGCGAGCGTCAGCCCGGGACCAGCGGGCAGAGGTGCCCTGGCACCCTCCCCCCCGCCCCGCCAGCCTCGCAGCCCGGTGGTCCTCATCCTTCCCAGTCCATTTTGTAGAGTGTCAGGAAAGGCCTGCTCAGGCGGCTCCTGGGACCAGCTCTTGTCCCCACGTGCCTTGCCCAGCCCGTATTCCGGTGAAGCTGGCTGCTCCTCTGGCCGCCTGCCGGCCACCCGACACCGTCCAGACTTCAGACCCAGAGGACAGCCCTCTCCACGCTCCAGAGGGAAGGCCTGAGCCCGCGCTGCTCTGGCCCCGCTGGCAATGCGGTCCATACCAGGCTCCTCCTCATCCTCAGGCCTCAGTGGGCACCCCTCCCTCCCGTCCTCACTGGTCCCTGCCCCATCCCCTTCTCTCGCTGGAATCTGTAGCCGTTTCGTCCGTGTGTCTGTTTCCAGCGCTGGGCGTCGGCTCCTGGGGCCGGGGCCATGCCCCTGTGCCCACCCGGGACCTCTTGTGTCTGCGCAGAGGAGGCCCGGTGCACACGGCGCTTGGTGAGCGGGGAGGGAGGGGTGCTGTCACACTCACAATCCCGCTCAGGTTTCTGCTGTCCAGGTGGCCCGTCAGAGGTCCCCACCAGGGTCGGCCAGCAGGATGGGCACCAAGCCCACACAGCTCGGCTGGCAAGCCCATCGCCCGTCGCCCCGGCCCAGCCCTGAGGGAGAGGCCCTGTCCTGGGGCGGCCGCGACACATACCCGTGTTCCAGGAGTGGGTGCAGGCCGTCCAGGGCAGCTCCGAGGTGAAGGAGCTGAACAGGTAGAATAGAGCCCAGGCGAGGATGACGATGTAGTAGATGTTCAGATAGGCCTCGATGACCACAGACGCCAGACCGATGCCTGGTGGGTGGGTGGGGGGGGAGAATGAGAGAAGCCACGAGACCAGCGTGAGCCCAGAAGCCGCGGGTGCGGCTGTGGGCACCTCCCAGAACCGCCAGGCTGATTCAGGGCGCGAGAGGCCACTTACACCTTATTCTACTAAGAAAAGCAGGTGGCAGAACACCAGCCTGAGCGTGCTTCCATTTTTATGACACACATTTGAATGTGAATTTTTTCTTTTCATGAGAAAAACTCTGGAAGGAGCATCACTCAGAAGTTCACAAGTGGTTCTCTAGGTGGTAGGATTTCAGTTCCTTTTTTTTTTTTTTTTGCTTTTTTAAAATTTAATGGAGGTGCCGGGGGTTGAACCCAGGACCTCGTGCACGCTAAGCACACACTCCACCACTGAGCTGTCCCCTCCCCACCAGTTCACTTTTTAAAGTTCTTTTCTTTTTGCCCACTTGCGTTTTCTAGTTTTTCTCTGACAATCGTGCGTTACTTGTAAACCCACTTGTAAAATCAGGGGGGGTGGGAGGAGCAGGGGAGTAAGCAGCCTCGAGAGTAAGACCAGAAGACGCCGGCAAGGAGGGGAGTGGGGGCCTGAGCCTGGGGAGAGGCAGCGGGGCCCTGCTTCACCGGGACCCACCCCGCATGTCCGTCCCCACCGGCCTGGCGCTTGGCCAGAGGCAGGAGGTTTCCTGAGCTGGGGTCCCTGACAGCCTGGGCTCTGATCATCTCACAGACACTCCTAATTTCATGCTCCCCAGAGGAAAGCTGAAGGGACAGTTGTCGGGTCTCTCCCGGGGCAGGAACCCAGCGTGTCTGTGGCCAGTGGACGGGGACCAGGGGCAGCCTTGGTGGGGCTGTGGGCACGGGGGACCCTGGGGAGCAGGCAGCAGGAGGGGATTCAGAGGACAGACAACACCCAGACCCCACAGAACGCCACACTGAAGTCACAAAATCCCCACACGGACCCCACAGGATCCCATTCAGACCCCCAAATCCCCATGTGGACCCCACAGGATCCCACTCAGACCCCCAAATCCCCACACGGACCCCACAGGACCCACATGCACTCCCCAAGTTCACCACAGAGACTCCAGATGAACCCACTCAGACCCACAAAATCACCACACAGACTCCACATGAGCCCACTCGGACCCCACACGGACCCCCACAAACCCCCCTCGGACCCCAGCGTCACCACACGGACCCCCTCACCCAACAGGCGGCCACCGTGAGCGCCTAAGCGGCCTGACCCGGGGGCCCCACAACCCCTTGGCCGAGGGGAGGCATGGGGGACGTCCAGCCTGTCCCTGGGTCTAGCCCCCCAGGGAGCGACGTGCGAGGAAGCATCCCCTCCCCCCCCTTATGGAAGGAACTCTCAGGGCAAGGAGACCCCCTGGGTTTCCCGCTGGCGGCCAGGGCACTGGCCCGAATGCCTCAGGAGTGGGTGGGGCAGGACGGCCAGCTGCTCACACTGATGCCAGCAGACCCCTAGGGGGAGGGCAGGGCTGTGACCCACTTAGTCGCCAGCACAGGGAAGGGGGTGAACCCCAGGAGACCTGGGTTCCAATCCTAGTCATGGTCTCTCTTCCTCGTCTACAAACAGGTTCGCAGCGTCACCACTGGAGGATTAGATGAGGAAATACCTGTGACGTGCTTATGAAGGTGCGTCGGGGACCCTGCCGCACACTCAGGTTGAAGATTCAGCCTCAGGGTTCCTCACTTGCAAGGACCCCTCAAACGTCTCTGCACCAGACTTTGTATTGCCTTTCCTGAAGAGCGCCCCCCAACCCCGCCACATCCTCAGGGTTTTATAAGCTTTGGGCCCCACAAAGCCTGGTCCCACTTCCTGTATCCCCCACAGCCCTTAGCGCAGGATGGGGGTGGGTGAGGAAGGGAGGCAGACCGGGAAGGCCAGGGGGATGGGGTGACGGGGGATGGGGGGGACAGAGGTACCTGGAAGCCCGCAGGTGGGAGGGCTGGGGACACTCACCCTGGAGGAGGGGGCAGATCTTCCGCCAGGCTGTGACGCTCCCCTGGCTGGTGTACTGGCCCAGCGCCACCTCCAGGAAGAACACTGGGATGCCGCAGGAGAAGAAGAAGATGAAGTAGGGGATGAAGAAGGCCCCTGCGGAGAAGGGGGAGGCGGGGTTGAGCCCCCAGCCCCAGGCCCCTCCCAGAGCTGTGCTCCGGCACCAGCACCTCCACCTCCCTCCCCAGACCCTGCCCAGGGCCCACGGCAGCTTCTCCCGTCTGTGAGCAGGACAAGCCGAAATTTTCCAGTCCACACCCCCCTCAGGACAGGAAAGACCTTGGAAGGGAAAAGAGTGCAAATGCAGGTGGGAACCCTAATGCGTGCATTATCTGTCTCCTCAGTGCGCTTCACAAACCTAGTCAGTTTATTACTTTGGGAACAAAAAAATGTGTTCTGTATTCTTTGATCTGCTTATTAAAATATCACATTTCTTACACTTTAGAGAAAAACTAACAAAGACATCTTGGAAAAAGTACTTCCCCTCTACTCATTTTCAGAGGGTTTCTGCCCTCCCTCAGGCTCTGGTCTGAACCGGGCCCTGGGCAGCTGAAGCCTCCCCTCTGCTGGGGGAGACCGTCGCTGACCCACAGGCCCCAGAAGGAGGCCAGGCCTGAAGAACTTCCAGCAACTGACACGTGAGTGGACTCTGAGGACAATCGTAAGGCCAGGGCACCCACCTCAGTCACCTCAGAGTGCGGACCTGGGGGAAGACGTCACTGTCCACTGCCCAGTCGTGACACCTGGCACGCCCTCTTCCAAATGCGTCCCAGCATCAAAACCCTCCCCAAACCACCTCCCATGCAGTAGGCCCCCAGTTCACAGGTGAGAAAACTGAGGCACAAACCCAGGGGCTCTGGCCCTGAGTCTGAGCTCTTAACCACATTACAGAGCTTCTCAAGCAATTCGTGTTACTCGGTAGAAAAAAACAGAACGTCCAACGGGAAGGAAAGGAAAAAACACTGTGTTTCCTTCCAATTTCCTTGGAAACACACACACATATTTCCTTTTTTTGCAAAAGTGAGAACCTTCTATGTATTACTTGAGAACCATTAAAAATTGTATATCCTGGACCTCTTTTCAAATCAGTAAATCGACGTCCACTTCACCACTTTGGTGGCCGCACGATGTCCACCTTACACAGCTGTTCAGGGTTTCTCAGTTACAACCCCCACGGGCCCTTTTGGTTTTTTAATTAGAAACCTGCTGTCATGAGGACCCTTGCCCACGTCCTCGTGCTTCAAGTAAATTTGCAATAGAGAAATTGCCGGGTCAGAGGGTACGGACTTTTTTTTTTTTGCTTTTTTTTTTGGTGGTAAAATATACATAACATAAATTTTACTATTTTAGCCATTTTTAAGTGTGCAGTTCAGTGGCATTCGGTACGTTCACATTGTTGTACACCCATCACCACCATCCGTCTCCAGAATTCTCTCCTCCTCCCAAACTGAAACTTTGTCCACTAAACACTAACCCCCTCGGCCTCCCCCGGCTCCAGGCGCCCACCCTTCCGCCTTCTGTCTCTGGGAATCTGATCATTCTAGGCACCTCACCTAAGTGGGATCAAACGGTATTTAGCCTTTTGTGACTGACTTATTTTATTTAGCATAATGTCTTCCACTTCTATCCACGTTGTAGAGTGTATCAGAATTGCTTTCCTTAGATAAAGAACAAGTTTCTACTGCACAGCACAGGGAACCATATTCAATATCTTGTAGTAACTTATGGTGAAAAAGAATATGAAAACAAATGTATGTCTGTTCACGTATGACTGGAGCACTGTGCTGTGCACCAGAAACTGACACAACACTGCACACTGACTCTACTTCAATAAAAATATATTAAAAGGAGGGAAAAAAAAGAATTGCTTTCCTTTGTTAAGGCTGAATAATGGTTCATCATAAGTATATGTCACATTTAGTTTATCCCTTCCTCCGCCGATGGACGTTTGGGCTGTTTCCACCTTGCAGGGAAGAACCTTCTTTAAAGTCTGTGACGGGCATCTCCAAGTCGCCCTCCCAGACCCCTGCACCACCTGCACCCCCCACCGCAGCCCGGGAGCACCAGGGACGGCTGCTGAGTCTGCAGGGCCCCCTGCTGCCCAGCCGCTCCGTGGTCCTGGGCAAGTCGCAGGGGTCTCTGAGCCTGCGTCCTCTGCGGAATCAAGGCTCGGACTAGATCACCTTCAGCTCTACCTCCTCTGTGTCTGTGAAACTGGGACAAAGATGTCACCACTTCCTCCCGTCTCCCCTAATCTCTGCCCCACGTGAGACCTCACCCCCAGCCTGGCTCCACGGCCCGGGCCTGCCCAGGACAGCCCATTTCTATGTCTTTGGAGTCATTGGTTTAGGCAATTTATAGTAATAACTATAAGTTTTAAAAAACAGAGTCAGGAGGAGGGAACAGCTCAAGTGGTACAGCGCATGCTTAGCAGGCATGAGGTCCTAGGTTCAATCCCCAGCACCTCCTCTAAAAATAAAGAAAGAAAGAAACCTAATTACCTCCGTCCTCACCAAAACATAAAAATAAATTAAAAAAAAAACAGCACAGAGGCAGGGGGAGGGTATAGCTCAGTCGTAGTAAGCACGCCCAAGGTCCTGGGTTTAATCCCCAGGACCTCCATTCAAATAAGTAAATAAACCTAATTACCTCTCCCCCCAAAAATAAACAAATTAACACAGAGCATGATACACAGCAGAGGCTCAGTGAGCATCTGGCAAATTAAACATTTGCAAGTGGGAACGCTCCTTCTTCTTGCCTTTCGGGAATGTTTCTAATATTCACTTATGTTGTTTCCTCAGGAAGAATAAAGGTATTTTCCAAAGGGAAAAATAAATCTGGCCAGTCACAAATAAACTCATCTAAATGAATTATTCCCTTTATTTGCAACAGTCCGAATAGAGAGAAATCCCCAGCCACAGAAAGGAGATACGTGGCCGCCCAGGGCTGGAGGCGGGGTACTGGGGCGTGCACACCAGTGGGCACCCAGAGTGATGGAAATGTTCTAAACCCAGCTGTGGTGGCGGCTGCACAATTCTGTGAACATTGCCCCCTTAACAAGATGACCCTCTGCCTGCCACCACGTCCCTGCTCATGTTTACTACCAGTGCTGGAAAAGTAATGAAATTGCTTCTCTAATTTTAAAAAACCAGGGACAAGATCACGTCGTTTCTTTGGTCAAAGTTCTTCAGTGGCTCCCGACTCACTGAGGGCGGGGCCCACGGGACCGGAGTCCCGTCCCCCGGGTCCCCTGCGCTCCTCTCCCACCGTGCATTCTCCTCCCGCTCCTCAAACCTACCAGCTGCACTGCACCCTGGCCCTGGCCCGCGCGTCCCCAGTGTTTGGAATGATCCTCACCTGATCTCCATCCTGAAGACTCGCTCCTTCACCTCCTCCCAGTCTTGGCTCAAGTGCCCCTGCCCCCGAAACCTTCCCTGGTCCCCTCCCCTCCCCTCCCCTGCCGTCCCCGGCCATTCCCCACAGCACCATCTGTCAGACCACTTGTCTGTCCTCTGCCGCCCTCCGCTAGGACGTCACACACACAGCGTGGTCTGCGCTGTATCTGGCGTAGTGCAGCCCACAGCAGGCCCACAGCAGGCCCACCGTGCAAGCTGCGTGAAGGAGGGACCCCGTCCAGGACAGACATCCTCGTGGAGGAAGGGAGGCGCTCCCCCCCGGCCTGTCCTGCCCAGTGCCTCACTTTGTCTTCCCCGGAGCCCGGTGAGGAATCACCCACCTTCCACAGATGGGGGCCCCCGGGGCCACAGGTGGAACTGGAGCTCAAACTGCACCCCAGCCTCCCTCTGGTTCCCACGCTGCCCAGGCCGGAGGCACCCAGGTGGGCCCTGCCCGGCCCAGCGCCCCCACCACGCCCACCTCACAGTGAACTCACCGCCCCCGTTTTTGTAGCAGAGGTAGGGGAACCTCCAGACGTTGCCCAGCCCGATGATCTCGCCCGCCACCGACAGCACAAACTCCATCTTGTTGGTCCACTGGCCCCGATGCTTGATGTGGTCCCCACCTTCCTGGTCCTTGTCCCCCTCCTCGGGGACCCAGGAGACCACGGGAGACCCATCCTCGTGGACCGCTGCTTTTCTGTGCATAGCCGTGGCTGGACTGGGAGGCCGCAGGACGCCGAGGGGGACACAGCCTGCGGGGAGGACAGGGAATGAGCTGGCCGCCCCGCCATCCCTGCCCTCTCCATCCTAGTCTTTCCCGATGTCTGAACGTCTCTTTCATGTTTAATGTCGCTGCTGGACTGTTGATTTTCTTCCAGACTCCTCCATGACATTTACACCTAAAGTTACACTTTGCTCTCAGGACTCTGAGGACAACTAGGGAGGAAGCCTTAGCTTGCCCATTTTGCAGATGGGAAAATCCAGGCTGTGACAGATGCAGTGGGCTGCCTGAGCCCTTGGGAGTCCACTGGGATTAAAGCCCAGGCTTGGGGACTTTTATCCCAAATCCTTTTTGGTCTTTACAGCCAGTCGTCATCGCCACTGGCCCGTCTGCCCCAGCTCCTCAGTGTCCAGTGTGTGGCACCTGCCCAGCCTCTGGCCTCCAGGACAGAGGGATCAAAAGCTACCAGGGTGTCAGGAGATCAAGGGGCAGGTGAGACCAGGTGGCTGCATGGTCTTCCCCGAGCCGGGCTGGCTGCGTGCTCATCCCTGCGCCTGGTGATCGGTCCCCCTAGGGTAAACGTGGGAGGCCGCAGGCTCTGGGCACCTGATTGGGAGGGGAGCGGAGGATAGGGCCAGGGGCCAGGGCCAGAGCCAGGGCAGGCCTTCGAGGGAAGTCTGGTTCCTTTCCTCTCGGTCTTACTTCTGACCTGAGAGCAGGCGGAGGTCCTAGTGGCAGAAAGGGACACCAGAGGGATCCTCACTTGAGTGGTCCCCTCTGGATCTGAGTGGTCCCCTCCAGGGAGACCCAGAAGTGACTGCCGATCACGGCAGGTCACTGCCCTTCCCGACTCCCTGACCTCTCAAGGAGCCAGGAGCTCCCTGGACTTTCAGAAGGATGACGCAGCCACTCTCAACTCCGCTCTGTCCCTCTCGTGGTCCCTTTGTCCACTGCCAGGAGGTAAACTGATGTCTGCAGTGCTCTATCTGGAACCCCTGTCTGCCTTCCCCTCCCCACACTCTGCCTGAGGCCACCTCCACCTCCGCCTGGGTTCCAGGAGCTGCCAGGAGGAGGTGCCGGGCTGCAGAGGGCGGCACCCCCCACACCCTCGCCTCCACCTCCGAGGGGCGCTGGGGAATCAGAGTGACCAGGAGCTGCGAGGCTCTGCTCCTCCAAGGCTCGAGAGAAACACAAGGGATTCTTTTTATTAAAAGAAGAGCCTGTGTTTACTTGTTGGTCCTTTTAACCCAGGCAACAGCCCAAGCCCGAGTCAGTTAGAAAGGCGTGGCAGGGCCATTTGAGGTTATGGAAATTTTTGAAGGTGACTTGGAGGGTGCAGGTTATCCCGGGAATGGGAAAGCAGGTCGGGGTGAAATTCTGGTATTGGGACCTACTCAGAGGCCAGCTCAGCCCAGGAGGGCAGGTGAAGAGAGAGGCACCCAGTGGAAACGGAAGGCCTCAGCTCTGGTGTAAGACAGGAGCGCAGGAGAAGAAGGGAAACAAGAGCTCCGGGCCCAGAGAAGGCGGCCAGAGCCCAGGGGCTCTGAGCAGCAAGCCTCGGGCGCGAAGAACAGGGCAGTCCGGGCCCAGATGAAGCCCTGGCGACCCCTGAACCAGCCGTGCCTGCTGCTGCAGACGTGGGTCTGGGACACCAAGGAACGGCCCCTGAGCCACTATCAAATGAATAAATGATGGATGAATGAATGAATAGACTCAAACACACGGGCGAAGAAGCAGCATCAGACAGGAAGCCCAGGGTCCAGTCCAGACCGGCTAATAACAGTAAAAGCTAACATTTGAGTCAGCACTGTGCTGAAAACATACACGTCTCACATTCATTAGTAAGTTTCGTCTTCACAGAAATCTTTGATGTAGGAATCGCTGTTAACTCCACTTGATAAACGAGGAAGTGAAGCTCAGAGAGATTAAGGAACAGGACCTGACACCCCCAGGTGCTCAGTAAACTATTTTTGAATCGTTTGAACAAACTTACCTGCACAGTGAGTTCGGAGCTGAGCTTCCACGTTGCTGTGTGACCTTAGGCAAATCACACCTCCTCTCTGGGCTTTAAGTCTCCCTGGAAGAGAGAATGACCACCACTCAACAGAGGAGATGGGAGGGCGGGGGGTACAAATGAGACACACAAAGGACAAGGAGAGATACCGCCGTGACTTGCCACGCTGGAGGGAAGCCCAGCTCGGGACCTGAGCATAGGGTCACCAGTGGGGTGGCCAGGATACAAGCCTCCCTGTCCCCAGACCAGAGGTAGCTGTTTCAGGGAGGGCCATGCTGTCCCCAGCAGCTGGAGACGGGGAGACCTGCCTGGGAAAGAAGTAAGTGGAAGGAAAACCGGGGAGCGCACAGGACGGGGAAGCGAACCCCAGAGCCCAGGGTGGGCGCAGGATTTGGGAGCAGAGAACACAGATAAACTGACACTGATGTGACATTTTTATTTTAAAAAGGTTATTGAGAGGAGCACAATTTATGGGTAAGAACGAAAACCCGGAATGGCAGAATCAGAGCAAGAGCAAATGAAAAGGAAAGCTGGCCCAGAGCCACGGCAAGTCAACGGGAAACAGACAAACTGCCGCAAGTGGGAGTCAAGTGAGACCCAGGGAAGAAATCTCCAGGAGGATGTTAGACATAAAAGCGAGCTGTGCTGAGCTCTCCTTTCCTGAGTTACTTTTAAAGCCGAAAGGAGCGGGGAGGGCGTAGCTCAGCGGTAGGGTGTGTGCTTAGCATGCACGAGGTCCCAGGTTCGATCTCCAGTCCCTCTGTTCAAAAAAACCTAGTTATCACCCCCAAAAATAAATTTAAAAAATAATAAAAAGAATAAAAGCCAAAAAGACAGCATCCTACCCTCCTGCCACCCTCCGTGGCCCCACTGTGCCAGGAATACTTAAACAACAGTGCCGTCCACAGTCCAGATGACTTCCGGACATCTCCCCCGTCCCAAGGGTTCGCCCGGCTCTGTCACCTCTCCAGCCCCTAGGCCCAGGCTGCTCACCTGCTCTGCTAAGCCTGGGCAGGGTACGGGGGCGTGGGGCGGACCTCACCACAGGGCAGTGCCCCCCAGAAGCCAAGACACCTACACCCACGCTGGGCTCAGCACTGCCCGTGAAGGAAGTCTTCAAGAGGCTAACAGGTCTGAAGGTCTCTGTCTTCAGGAGCTGGGCACGTAGACAGAGGCCCCGCCAGCGTCTACCCGCCCCAGCCCCACATGGGAATGACCCCGGATCCGGTGGGGGTGGGGGTGGCTGGGACGCCCCAGCCCCGGCTTCAGCCCACACCCACATACCAGCTGCCATTTCCGTACACACGCTGGTGCCGGCCGTCACGTCCCTTTGCACACACATACCTGTGTGCACGGCACCAAAACCTGACACCCCACGGGCCGCCCGGCTGGGCCAGTGGCCGCCTAGGCCCTCGTTGCCCCCAGGGCACAAGCTCGCCCCGGCCCCCCGCCCCCCAGCCAAGTTCCCGGCACTTCCTCCTTCGGGGAGACACGCCTGGCCTGGCGGGGCGGCAGGAGCCCCTCCCTGCAACCGCTGAGCAGATCGGCCCTTCTCCTGCCTGCACTTCCTTCCCACCTGCTGGGCTCCGTCTGCCTCCCCCTCCCTCCTCTCTCACCCACTCCCTGTGGCCAGCAACCCCGTCCCGTCTCTGGACTTTCCTGCTACCCGAGCTTCCCCGAGTAGCTCAGATGCTGTGGATGGTGCGGTGGGGGGGACACCCTTGCCCTAAGATTCTCAAACACTAGACTTTCCACTGAGCTGTTTCCGGCACAGACACACAGGCCTCCCCAGGTCTCCCTCCCGGGTGTCCGCCCTCGGCTCCTCCACACACTCTCCACCTAGCAGACTGGCTGCCCTCCTGCCCACCTCTGCTCAGCCCGCGCCTCATGCCTCAGCAGAGTCCCAGGGAAGCCACGACGAGACCGATTCCCCCGCTTCGCTCCTTCTCCTGTTCCTCTCAGCTCAGAATCCCACCAAGCTGTGGTCCTGGGATGCCCAGACAGAAAGCGATTGTGTGTGTGTGCGCGCGCCCACGTGGATGAGCGGAGGTACTGGAAGTGAAGGGGCAGAGAAACACCACAAGCGACAGGAGAGACTGAAGCCAGAAGTTTGTGAACCAGGATTATAACATCCAACCTCAGGAAGTCCAGTCCTCTGTCCCCAGCCCCCTCCCTGACTCCCGCCGGCCGAGCTCCCACACTGGGCCCTGTCCCAGGACGACCCCTCCAGAGCTGGGCTCTGAGACGCACACCAACCCTCATCTCCCCACCTTTGCCCCCTCTCACCTGCCCCCTCTGGTGCCGGCTCCTCGTCCTCCGGAGGGAAGAGGAGATGTAGGTGGACAGGATGGGCACCAGCAACCCCCAGGCTGGAAACGGAGATCTGAGATCTCGGGAGGGGAGTTGGCCTGGCTGACGAGGGCAGGGGAGGAGGGTGAATCACGCGCTGGAGTTTTCCACCCAGTACCTGCCCTCTGTGGTTTCAAGGCAAGGCTCTGGACCTCCACAGCCACAACCCTTTTCCTTGGGATTTTCCTAGAGACAGTGCCCAGAGCAAACCTCAAGAAGCATAATCTAGAAAGGACACAGGTTTGCGGGCAGACAGACCTGAGACTGGCCCGCCCCTCTATCATCTACGGCTCTCATCGCCGGGCATCTGAGCCCCTGCCCTCCAACCTGTGAAGGTTGGGTAACACCACTCACTTGGTGGAGTTGCTGTGAGGGCTACAGACACCATGGGAAACTGCTCAGGGGGCTGCTGGTGCTTCAGGGGAGGTGGCGATGTTTGGTTTACTGCGAGGCTTCTGGAAGAGGGGCTGGGGTGCCGGGGTGTCCAGCCCCACGCAGCAGCAGCGATGCTCGGTGACCTCGGCACTGAGGTGCAGGCTGGGACTTGTCTGACAGCCTGCCAGGCGTCAGGGGTGAAGTGGGACTTGTTGGGTAAGCGCCTGCGTCCCCTGCCCGTGCCGATGAGCTTCTCCAGAGAGGGTCCTCATCGCTGTTCCTGACGTGTCCTCGCGCACTGGCACCGGACCGTCCGTGGCCATCCATCCAGAACAGCTGGCGCCCCCTTCGGGACCATAGAGACGCTCCTTCAGCCCCAGGTGGTGTGGGGGAGGAGAGGCTGCGGGGAGGAAGGGAAATTTCCCTCAGCCCGCGCTTCCCCTTTGTAGCTCAGCACTTCCCAGCAGGGCCGGGTGTGAAGTGACAGCCTCTGTCTGTAGTTTTCCATCAAGCACCCCGCTCCCCGCCTCTCAGGCCCCTCTCAGCAGCCCCTGCGGGGCTCCCCCTGGAGAGGAGGCCAGAGAAATCCCAGCTCAGACCCTTCGCCCTAGGGAGACCAGAAGCCGGAGGGCGGGAGTCAGCTCCAGCGGGGGTCCACACGGCTGGTTCCCCCGCACTCAGCTGCCCCCTCGTCTGCCCTGTCCCTGCATGTCAGGCCCACCGAGTGTCAGCCATGCAGCTCGCTGCAGAGGGGACACCAAAGGCCCTGCGGATTCCCTGGCTGCAGCTGCTGCAGAACGAGGAATGAGAGATCCAGCCCCTCCGGGAAGGGGACGAGAGGGAAGGGGGCCAGGCTAGGCAGGGGTTGAATTTCCCAGCTCAGTCATTCATTCAAAATGTACTTCGGACCCATGGTGTGTGAGGACCTGGGCAGCCTTGTCACCTTCTCCTCACCTTATATGAGAAGAGCTGCCTTGCTTGACCTGCCTCCCTGACTCAAGCCCACCCGACCCCCCAGCACCTAGCCCCCCAGGCCAGGCGTCTAGAACAACTGGTCAACTCCTGGAGGCTGGAGACCTCCATCTTTGCAAAAGGTAGGAGTCCCTAAATTACCTGGAAAGCCAACCTAAGACTGGGCTGTTGCCATACTGGGAAGGGTCCAGAGTCGAGATGAAATATGGTTAAATGAACCTGTTATCTCACTGCAGAGAAAACCGTTCCTCAGCATAATCACCTCCTAACCTGTGCGTGCTTTCAGGGGCCTGGCGTGGAACCCAGTCCCCGAGCCCCTCTAACTCAGGCGAGGAGCCTCACATGTCACCCTGTTTTGTCCTCACAAGAACATGAAATGTGGGAAAGAGCAGCCCATGTTGCAGGTGAGAAAACTGGGGTGAACAGAAGTTAAACAATGGGTCCTAAGGCCGCACACTAGTAAATGAGGGTGCTAGGATTCGCAGCTGGGCCCCTTGGCTCCGAAAGTCCATGCTCGTTCCACAGCAGGGTACTGTTTCCTGGACCAGGAGCATCTAAAGGGCGGGGGGCCATTCCATAATCCTCTGTTCCTGCCTCTAGCATTTTATACAGAGCTGGCTCAGAGCAGATACTCGGATGGATGGATGGATGAGGGGAGATGGATGGACGGATGGATGCAACTTGAGGGGAAAAAATAATCCCAGCTTTCCCTCATCTGGGAGGGAGCTGCTCTCCCAGAACCAGGAGCTAGACTAGGGCTTGGAGGACTCAGGTCTTGCTTTTCTTGGACAAAACTGCCAGTGCTGAGCAGGACCCAAAGGCCTTGGGATGCAGGGGTATTTTAGCTCTACCCCTCCCTTGCCTCCTGGCAACAACGCTTAGCTAAAAATGTGTAACCTGCTTTCTGGGGCCCAGTACAACCTAATGTCTGAGACTGGGGAAGCCAAGGGACAGCAAGCATGTCTCTGATCTCTTTCTGGGCTTTTCCATTTCACGGACAGCCTATGTGTGAGTGTGTTAGGCGGGGAGTGGGGTGGCAGGGAGGCTGGAGTCCTGGGAAATAGGATGGATTTGCTTGAAATATGTCCCCAAAGCTGCTCTCTTTACACCCTCCACTGACTCTCACAACAGAAGGATGTAAATACTATTATTCCCATTTTATAGAGGAGAAAATTAAGGATCCGAGAGATGAACTTGCTCAAGGTCACACAGTGAGTATGACCCCCGCCAGGAGTGTGCCTGGCAGACTGCGGTGTCTGGGTTTGTGCAATTACCCGAGGAGAGGGAGGGACTGTGTGTGTGCAGATGCTTGAATCTGAGACCTGACTGTGCGTGTGTGCACAGTCTGAAGAATGAGGCCTGAGGCCCCAAGGCAGCCTGGTGGGCCGGGTGCCCAAGCCATGGCTCTGCAGCCTCCCCCGGCTCCCGTGGTAACCCCCAGGCACCTGCTTTCCTCCCTCCTTCCAGCTACCCCTGCCTGCCCATCTTCTTCTCTCACAGGTGTGGCCTCTAGGCAAACGGCTCCCCTTCCCCTCACGTCTCCTTCTTCTGGGAGCTGCAGGCTCCCAATTTGCCCTTCCAGGCAATGAAAGCACAGGGGGCTCAAAGCGGCCCTGCCCCCACCATCCCATCAGAGGGGCTAAGGCCAAGTGCAGGGATTCCAGCTCCCTCCCCTGACCTGACCCCTGGCTTTTTAGAGCACCTCCCCCTCAGCCAGTTCTGCCACTGGTCTGATGACCTCACCATGGGGCCCTCACTCCTGTGACCTCAGCGAGGCCCACCACAAGCCTGTATGTAGGCGGGGTGCACAGTGTTATCTCCTTCTGCAAAAAATGAAGACCTGAATTCCACAGAGAAACACAGACGTTCAAGGCAGGTCAGGACTAGAACCCACATCTCCCAATCCTGGGGCCAGCGGATAATTCTCTCCCTCTATGGCAGCATTCAGTAAGCCCTCAGATCAACCACCTGCCACCCTCCCTTGGCCCAGCAGGTTCCTGCAGTTTTGATCAGAGGGAGGGACATAGCTCACCCTCAGAGCGGCCTCCCCAGACCCCCAAACCCAGATCATCTAAGCCCTTCCCACACCCACTTACTCCGTCCCACACACTCTGCTTCTCTTCCACAGCACGTGTCATCAGTCATCCTTCATAAGATCTGTCTGTATTTGCTCCTGTGTGTCCTGAGCGGAGCCCAGCAGGTGTCTGGAAGTGTTCTCAGACGGGTGCAGACGCCAGTGGTGGTGTCTGGAGTTCTGGCATGTTCCTCCAGCAGACCTCCCTCCCATCTTAGGACTGGGATGAGCCTGGCACACAGGGGGCGCCCAGCGGGTCAGTGTCCAGGAAGGAGCCGCCACACACAGCAGGGCCGCTGTCACTGATTTTAACAACAACAACAACAAAGAATCAAAACCTGAAGGCTTCAGTGCGTTTTCCCGCTCAGAGTCTTTCGGAAGTAAGAAAATCACCGGGGAGCGCTGTGCCCCTCAGTCTGCAGCTCCAAGGATCCCAGGTGCTCCCCGCGCGCAGCCCTGTAGAGGAGCCATCTGAGCAGAGGTGGGGACCCAGGCGGACGCGGAGCCTGCGCACGTGCGGGAGAAACGCAGCCGCGAGGCGCCGTCTCCTCCCCTGCAGACACGCGGCCCGGCGCGCACACCTGCCCTGGGTGCGCGGGGA